ATGTACGTACCACGCCTGAACAAACAGCATTGGCAATTATTACTTATGTCCCCGACATGTCAAGTAATATTTGGTTAGGGATATATTTGAATGAGAAAACACGAGAAAAAAATAGAAGAAGATTGTCTCACAGATCAGATAACACCATATAGAGTAATAAAAGACCAAGTTGGTTTCGATTCAAATGACACTTATGGCTCGTTTAAAAAGGCTGGCAGAGCGCATTTCAAAAAAATAAATAAATCGCTTTTATAACATATTTGTATACTACATCAATCGAAAAATAGTTTACTCAATTTTTTTTCCGCGGGCCACTCGAAATCATTCCCGGGACACATATGGCACGCGGGCCACGGATTTGACGACCCTGACTTAAAAGTACCAAGCCAGGATTATTAGAATAGCGGAAACAGGAAATTTTTTATTGATGCATTGATGCAGGTCGCTGTTCATGGATTTTGTTACTGATACAGATTATAATCTATTGCAGTGCGTATACCAGGAAACCCCTAGGAAACGATTTCCGTGGTATCCCAGCGTGAGGTGTGTTCACACAGCCCAATACGTCCTTTTTTAGGTCTTCACATTTACAACAATGGTCCAAAACGTCTAATTGAATCACAATTAGGAAGAGGTAATGGCGACACCTAGTGGATTGTATTACAGAGAATTTATTTCTAAGGTTGACCTCGTTGGATTGTTTCGCAGACATCGAGTAATTTGAAAGCGTTCGCTCGAGAGAAGTATTTTCGGATGAATAAGCACGGCGACCATCGCTTATTTGAACACTTCATGTTCGTAGGTACGAATGAGGCCTACTTTCAGCTTTAGTTAATGATTTGCCCAGGCAGTTAACTTTAAACAGTCACTGTGTGTTATGAGGAGAGTGACGTATTGATCAAGGAATGGGCGAGTCAGTGTGTCCACATATTTTATCCAAATATATAGTGATTAAAAATGTATTTCTTATAGTAATGAAAGATTAGGCCATTGCGAGAATATAGTAAAGTAACAGATTTAAGTATACAATATTAATAAGAATAGCATGATCTCTTTCCACGAAATAGCAAGTCACAAATATGCTTGCAACTGCGGGGAAAGATATTATGTTATTCTTATTCATCACTTTAATACTATTTCGTTCAGGCATCTTTATGGCAACGGACACATACGGATTCGAAGTAGTAAGTAAATGAGGAGAAAGGAACTGCAGTTCAATACACAATATCCTAGTACAGGTTAGGGATTTTACAGAGTGCTCAGTAGCCAGTTAGCCGAGGAACAAGTCAAAGTATTCTAGAATAGACGCGAATTCAAATAAAACAATTACAAACGTACATACTGATTTATAGGGCATTGTATATCACATATGAAAGCATCAACAACTCAGCGTTGTATAATATTAGTACAAATGGCGATGAAGGTGGTAGCACAAGAATATGGTATAATGGTTTTACGATTTATTTGAACATATTTACAACGTTACATGAATAAGGCAGGGCGTGAATTTTTACTGATAGTGGGTGAGACATTGATCTAATTACCGAGAATAAATACCATCTGCCACGAATGTATATCTATCTCCGTGGCCGTGGTCTAGGCTTATCTATTAAATAGTGTTTTTGTAAAAAACGTAGCAGGCTATTCATCGTTAAATAACTGCATAATGCACTGCCCATGCCTGGTACGTATATCTAAGGCCGCGTGATTCAGTCAGTCGACTCTATTGGATATAACTCAACTAACTATATTCTTTTTTAGCGCTTTAGCTCGTACACTCTTTTAGTGTTTCTGAGGCTATTCTTAAAAAGATCTAAATTTAATAGTAAAAAGCACGTACATGTACTACTGATTTGCGGTTCCGTTATTTAGACACCATCCACTTAAAGGGAATTAAATGATGAAATTTATTTGAAATTGAATTTATTGCTATATTCTCCCGAATGATTCATAAGGAATGCTTCATTCATTACTATTAATGTAATAGTAATATTTTAGACGATTGTTTTACAACATCCATTGTCGCATTTCGTTGACATATTGTTAACCATCCCCGCTGGAAACACCTCGGCACTTGAAGAATATCGATGAATTAAACTGAAATCGATTGCCGTTCACCCCAGGGAGATTAATAAAAATCTAGCAGTTTTGCATCGTTGAACTAATCCGCCACCAAAAAATAATCGTATTGCAAATCGGTTTTAATTTTTGTACAAAAGAATCTTTTGACGCCCACATGCAGCGTAACCGCAGTGCGCCGCATGTAAAACGCACAATATGACGGAGTGCTGGTCTGAGGAAGTCGAAGTGTTACAGAAGTGGTTCCCAACCATTTTCGATAAACTTGTCCCTTAGCCTATTTTGGATCTTTTTATTCCTCCCTCACTGTACATAAAAATATGTTTCCATTATTTGTTCAATCCTTGAGAGTTCATAGCTATTGTTAGGCGCAGGTCGCACTTTTAAGTATTTTGATAAGTTTATAACGCGCCCATAAATATGTATAAAATAGTCCTAAATAACTGAAACAATATTAATGAAACTTCTGTATTTCCTCTTCCAAAAGAACAAAATTTCTTCCCGATTGGGAAACGTTGCGTTACAGAGTGAAAGTGTGATGTGTAACTTTTGAACCACTTAATATCAATTTTGGGAACTGTACGTATTGCGACTATTGTTTGCAATCTTTGTAATATAAATATTCCTGCATCGCCCTGAACGTTTTCCAAACATACAATGATCGGACTATGTAATGAACTTTCATAACTTTAAATATTTAGCTTAACGTAATGTTGTCTTTCAATCCATCGCGTTGGAGAACTTTATAGTCATGGGGTTATTGCTGAAGTAACTACGTCCAAAGCCCGTATTTTATTAGCAATCTTCGCATAACAAAACTGAGATATATTAACAATGGAGCGTTTCTTATTGCATATGCGCCTCTTTTCACAATACAAAGATTTTATATCGTCCGATCATGTCCGGTGTTTATCACGCATTCAAATATTATTTATTAGGTTTTATTTGTGTGTTTTGAAATGACATTAAAAAATAAATCAAATATTTGCGGTAAATTGACCTATCAAATAAACAAAATTGAACAAACTATGTTGCTTTGCGAATCGCGATAAAATATTGGCCTGATATTAAAGTACGGGTTGCCTTCACTTTGTATAATCTAGTTGATGGCTATGATGCGAACTATAATAATTAATATGATTGCCTTGGAAACTGACCTGATTGTTTCATTTTATCTGAAAATAATAAAATTTCTTTATATTAAATATTCTTGAGGTTGGTTTAGAAAAAAAGTGTTAAACTATGAGTGTGCAACAAGACTCTTGAATCACTTAGATTAGTTATCTTTACTTTTGCTACAGCATCCTTGCATTATATGCATACGGATCCACCGGCACAAAAGCATAGAAGAAGGATAAGTAGTTAGGCTCGCAGAAACCAAATCATTAGCGTAAACTACGAGTGTCGTCATCCTGCAAGACTCAGCTTGTCATCGAACTACAGCGGATATAAATCTGAACCTCATAATTACTGCTTATCTTTTGAGCATTGTGTGTAATAATGCATTGCCAAGCTCGTAGTCATTATTTATTCGAATACAAGATGCCCTGAGGGAAAAATACCAATCTTGTGCCAGGATTCGCAATCTGCGGCTATAGTTGATTTTATTCGAGTTTATTTAAGTTCAGTACAATGATACTCAATGGCTTAGAAAGACGGTACTGGTTGTTGTGATTTTAGGACGTCTATTCTGTGACATTGCGATTTGGGTATCATGACTAGGTTAGACAGGCCCCTGATTGCGGTAATCGTAACCTCCCCATAATGTATTAGCATTTTGATATGCGGAAAGGTAGACTGCCGTAACAGAATACCATACAAGACTGGTCATATTGAAATTTCGTTGCCAGAATTTTAAACATACCATAGGATTGATTGTACGTTACTTTGCTATGACCACAGTTGTTTGCTCTGCTGGCATAGTGATTGATATTGTGCATTTTGTTGCACACTCTTATGTAAAATTAGCTTAAATATCAGAATTTCAATATTGCATTATGGCGATTATTGTATTGTGACGAGATCAACCAACCTTTTCATTTGCTAATCTTTTTTGTGGATGAAATCAGTAGGCTAACAGGCTTTTGAGATATTTTTGTTTGTTTTGTTTTTCACAAAAATAGTTTATTTTTAACTGACTTCACGCCTCACGAGACCTGAAAGGCATAGCATCTTACACAATAGTGGTGCCATATTCAAAAACTGAAAAGTTAAGTGTCGATAGTAATCTCAAAGAAATCGTGTATCTTCCAGTTTTTGAATGAAATTTTTCTCCGACTTTATCTTATAATTGTCACTGGCTAAACTCATTACTTTTAGGCAAATTCCGCCAGTGCTTTGAAATTGCATTTAACCACTTACCCCCAAAAGTTATTGAATACCACACGACAGATCGATAAATCGATTTGCAGCTGCTCTATGATTGTTATATTGTAGGAGTTCCCAGCCGCAGTTTCTCAGTTACATGACTTAGACGTCTTAGATAGCAGTTATCATAGACAAAACATTTTTATATGGCCCTCAAATCTCGTAGGCCCCAAGGAATTCAATTTGCACTAAGTGTTTATTTGTTGATTCGCATTTGAATGAATTCATACGTTCTTGTCACCGGTAGGCAGGCGTTTAATCCGACAACAAAGCCCTAATTGACGTTTCGTTTTACTCCAGAAAGAAGCTTAAATAATTGATAAGTCAAACTTCAATGAGCCGTAAGGTTTCAAATGTCTGAATTCTATATGCTAAGTTTAAACATGCAAGCCTATAATATAAATACATTATATATAATATAGCATTTGGATGCTACGTTTTGTATACACCGCATGAGGATGGGGTAATACAATCTACAATGTCATTTGCAAATTGAGCTATAAGTTGGTTAATGGACTGCGGTTTTCCAATCCCCTATAATAGAAGTAATATTTTAGTATGAAAATCGAATGATCATAATTTTTACCTTTTTAACAATGTTATATACAGAAGTGAATAGGTTTGAAAACGTTACATTGTCAGCATTGCTAGATATAAGTCAAATCTGAACATCTTTTTCGAGTCGTATTGAAATTAATAAGGTAAATTTTATTCATACACGTGATACAGAGATGTAATTAGTGGAATAAGCTCCAGATTTGGGTATGGATTTTCGGGTTCTCGGACTGCAAAAACTCATACATACGCTGACCTGGTCTGCACTGTCAAGTCAAGCGCCAAATAAAAATTCTAATATCAGTACAAAATCTTTGAGGAAATCTATAAAGCTAATCTAATAATGATTTTATTTTCAGATTTAGTGTCAACAATATCTAATATAGATTCCTCAAGGAATTGAAAAGATCATGCGATGTGGCGGGGTGCTACTTCTGCTAATTTTTATAACGTGGGCTAGTATTGGATTGTACGTTGGAGGAGGATATTCCGGTCTTGCTGGAACATTAATTTTGTTTGAAAAGTATGGACCCGTGGAAGGTAATAAGTTGTTTGAATCGTATTGACGAAATCCGAATATGAATTCAATTCGGATTTGATGCAATTGCTTGATTTTTTCTTATTCTTGAAACGCAGAAACCCCAATTATATAACAAAACAAATAAATATAATGGTATTACGTCTCAAGTTTTCCCTATATGCGTTATTGTATAAAATATCCTGATAGCTTAATTTATATTCATACATATAGATCATTGATTTATATTCATACATATACAACTTCTGCCTCTGCCAGTTAGAGTAATGCAACATATTACCTCTAAATTTAAAAACTAGGAGAAGGACCCTTGTCTTGTTGTAATATGCGTATTTCGTTGGTTATAGAAATATATACTGAGTATCTGGAACGACGGTTCTTTGAAAAATTCCCATCTTTTTTGCAAAACCACCAGCAAACGATTATATTATATTACATAACTCTTTATTTCGTGATAAATGGTTCCCATTTTCTTATCTAAACTATAAATATAAATACACAGTTGAAAATTTCGGGTTCGTTTCGCAATATCTTGGCAATTGTCTAGTCTAAAATTGAATTATGTCAAGTGATAGAAGCTCTGTTCTGCGTACGCAGGTTATTCTGCAGTGCAAGCACGAAATATTGCCAAATTTTTCCGACCAGCCCTTGTTCTTTCAACTCTCACGAATAACTCCTAATTGTTGTTGTTACAAAACCAACAAACCATGTAGCTGCATTTGTGTTAAGCAGATAATATTACAAAAATCATCGAATTACCGACATTGTTTCTTTAAAGGTCGAGGTAATCCTGCAACAGATCCGGAACCAGACATGTGGGTGAATCCAGAAACAAATAAATGGGAACCGAGAAACCCAAATAATCCAGGAAACAGAGTGCCTCAAGCGTGCGTATTATATAATAGTGAATATTTAAGATGACCGAACATGATGACAGATTTTCTTTTGATTCGCACGTTATTAGAGTTTTAATATTTTCAAAAATTAACCGTCCTATGCCTTAAAACGGTATCATGTCTTCATATATTCTGGAGCTAATGCCCGAATTTCAATCATAAACCTGAATTCTTCATTGTTGAAAACCACGGACTTCCTCGATTACGTGGAAATCACAATAATAGTAACAAGTTATACGTTTGCTAGAAATTAATAAACATTACCTGATATCAGTTTTATATCAGTATTTGGACGATGTTTAACCTTCGAACTTCCTCTGATTTACCAAGACGAGAAATACCATTTAATAAATGCAATTTCAATTCAGATTCAAGATTTGCCAATACTTCCTCGTTGCATGGGCGATATTTATGTTTATTAACACAATTGTGTTCATCGTCGATTCTATGAGAAGTAGAAAGGCCATTCAAAGTCGAATATACGTTGGGAGCCGAGTTGGGGATTCTTCAATTAGCTGTACGGCGTGGGTAAGATTATTGACAGAAGCTTTTATCCACAAGTACACACCAAATGCCAAGAATATAAGAGCATATTTATGCATTAATAAAGTGTGAAGGTAAATTTGAATTGAAATAAGTGCAAGTGCAAGCACAATGCGCAGAAACGAATGATGTACGAGATTATCAATTCTGTAATCACTAATCAGTGAAGGCGAATCTCTCTTGAACTCTTCCTAGAATTAATTATTAATTAAACGTACGCTCGTTGATCGTACATGGTTTTGACAAGTCAAATCCCTTGTCGATGACGTATATTTACTTGAGGTGCCTTCGATGGTTAAAATGAAGTTTGTTGTTTGTCACTGGAACAGATGTAAAATATATTTACTATGTGAAATGGGACAAATTAAATGTCAATTTTGTAACCTTTGCTTGTGGACTTTTTTCTCAAATGGACGAGGTGGTCTGGCGATTTTTTCGTTAGACTTAACTTTGTTGGCATAGCCCACATGTACCACCTCACCCAGGGTATAATAAATTGTGTAGGCGATGCCTAAACCGAAAAATATCAGTCCCTCAAAAAATAACATCTCACACATCGTTAGATATCGATGTTTGCTTGTCTTGTACAATGCCTTATTCAGAGCGAAACGGGGACGAGTGCCGTACGTGAAAATGTAAACAGTAAATCAAAATCTATACGTATATTATCCGGTTGTTAATGTTATGTTATTAATCGAAATGTAAGTATTAAAATCTTCTTTTTGACAGCTTACCGGATACAGCGTCTTCCTTGCTATATTTTGGTTCATTCAAGCAGGCTTCGCGGTTTTGCCTCTCGTTGAATACAGAATCACTATGCAAAGATGTTGGGATTTGAATAATCCATCGTTTTCTGTGGTCTCCGATCAAAATATTTGTGTGGATCTAGTGCAGTATGGTAAGTATGTCAGAATATCAGGAAAAAACACGAATGTACTCATGCGCCGCATCACCGCATATTAGGCTGTCTGCCGTGATAGACAATAATATTCTTGTCATTCATTTCATTTATTTTCTCTAAACAAGGCTCTGTACTGGGATTTCTGTACCCAGGGAACTGTTATGCTCTGGAAAGAGCGGCCACCTCACGTTAACACAACCTAAGTACATTAGACAATGTACTTATGTACCGCGTATTAGGTTAGGTATAGTAAAAATTGATATTCATGTTCAATATTTTCACACCTTTTATATAAGCAAGGCTCTGTACATGAAGTAACTTATACGCAGGCAGCTGTAATTATTTGGCTAGAGCGGTCATCTCTCTTTGGCAAGGCCTGTCCAATTTATTATATCGGAGTCCAGGGGTTCTAAGCGCGCGTAAATTTAACCCATGAAGATGAATTTGACCTGCATCAGGGTGAATTTTTGAGAATAAGAAAGTGCATGTGTTAAACACATAGATGATTGTAATACTCTTTTGAGCAATTGATGTTCATTATGCTCCAGTTGGACTGCTGCTTTTAGAGGGTAAATTTACTACTAAAATTTGCCAAGTGGTAAACGAGGGAATAAAAATTCAGAACCCCTTCCTCTGACGAGGTGGTTGGTGTGGCGTTGACGATATAACCGACAATATCAAACGCTTAAATTGTTAATTTGCGACCGAGGTGTTATTAGGCTTAGATACAACCTATATTTTGCGTCATTGTTCCATGATGAAGCCATAACTGAGACCAACATCAGGTGTTTTCCAGCTAAATATGTTTCTAAGTCGAGACTTGACTTGTAGCAGAACGTACACCGTCTGGATTGAAATCAATGAAACACTGTTTCACTATTACCGTATTCTGTAATTTGATTATTCTAAGATCGTTAACCAATAGCCAGGCTTCCTACAAAATCATATTACATTTCCTAGTAACACCAATATGGCTTAGTGTTTTAAACTGATCTCTAAGCGAAGTCGACACAAGAGCTACTGAAAATATATAGAATTATAGCGGTACATTGTGCGAAGAATCCCTTATAATACAGCGTGTTTTTAAAGGTGTTTAGACCAAAATGTCGTGGCGCTGTCCATTCTTCTTGGCACACGAGTAGCGTGCGCCAATGATATGCCATGTATACTGTGAATTCGATTAAATAACAACATAGTATTTCGGTGCGATACTGACTACATTGCGCTGTCTGGCTGGCTGATAAGGTATAGGTATCCATATATGTTATCGTGAAATGTATATAGAGTTGCTTCGTCACGCATTGCCTACTACTATTACTGCAATTTGAGAATATTTTTTTCATATTATGGGTTTTGATAACATGTTTTACTGGAAATATCTGGTTTATAATAGATGAATAACAGCTGAAAGTGAGGCGCTTTTTATATCCGCAATAAGGCGAACGATTCAAACCCTGGAGGCCCATACGCTGAAATAGTGCATTAAGATGAATCATCTTTGGTAACGTGCCAGATGTAAAATTTGTTGATGAACGATCATGATTTGAACTAAACCCGCATTTGCTAAGTTTAAAGGCAAGGACGAATGCGAACTAATGCTGGGGTATATTGGTCCACAACTAAGAATCGGGGGTTCATAGACAACACTTTGAAATATTACATTGTTATTTCTTTGTACAGGCTTAATCATGTTCCGAGAGACGAATGATGCCGGATTCGCTCTTGTATGTGGACCTGGAGGAAACTATAATCCTCAGAGAGGAGATCTGAAAGGTTTTTGTGATTCGGTAAGATTAAGAAGCTTAATATAGAATAGAATAAATATTGGGTACTCCTGGAGTATGCGCACCAGGATGTCGCATAACCTGAACCCTAACCTGGTACACAACCTGGGTTCAGGTTGTGCGCCATCTGGGTGCGCATACTTCTGGAGGTCCAAATATTGTTTATAAAGATGCGATGTGTGCTCAAAATTTCAGAAGTACTTAATGATCAAGCAGAGGTTCCTCCTTTTCGACAAATTCCTTCTATTGTATATTTCGAATGTTTTTATTCCACTCCCACTGTGCATAAACACCAATTTCGTCCAATCTCTAAAAAAACAGTGTTGCGTGCAACTCGTACTATTGAATTTGCACAGTTTGAATATTTAATGATGTGTACATAAATATGGATTATAAATAAAACTGAATGAGTAAACAATATTAGTGACAAAACACTACAGACAAATACGAAGTAAAATTTCGTCCCGAAATCAACAAATTTTTTTCCCGTGAAGAAATTCTTCCCCGTTTTTTTGATTTTCCATCCCATTTTGCGGAAAATAGTTTTGAAATCGAAAAATGGAAGTTTCAAGATAAAGACTAACATCTTTCTCAAACCAGACTCAATATGATACTTGAATTTGTAGTCTTTCAACAAACCATTTCAATAATCATGTCGTCCATGCCAATACCATCGACATATTGAGCGGTTCTTATATAAATGTCACAGCTTCAATTAGTCATATTGTTTGATAATACGTTTTGCATTGACCGTATGAACCATTTCTTTCATGTGAGATAAAATGGCGCCATGTCGTCATTCTTCGTCCTAAGTGCCTTCAAAATACCATTCGTGAGTTTATCGATGTAGTGAATATATGGATAAGGATGTCCATATCAACATAGTTTGGTGTTCTACAGTTCCACCTCACAGTTAATAGTGATTGCGAATTTTGAGAAAAACCCGCATGACCACATGACAGGGGCCGGTTAAACCATTGTCCTTATAATTGTTGTTATTTATTTTTCCAGTATTATCCTACGTTTGCTGCTTTCATCGTCTGTTTTGCTGGAGCTTCAATTGGAATGATTGCTATGGTAATAAATAACTTTCATTTTTGCGCAAAACAGTAATGTGAATTGAATTCCATCGTTATTTTGAGGATCTATTTGACTAAAAATTATGCTAGTCTCAACAGACCTTTTTGCATCATATTCATCTATATTCTGAATAGGATTACTTATTTTATACGATGTTCAACTTCTTCAAACCGCACAAGGCTCTGAACAAGCAGATACTTATATGTGCCTAACTATAATAATCTGTAGATCAGGCTTAACCAGTCAGATTAAAATTGTACAAAACTGACAAAATTTAAAGCTTCAAGCTAACATTCAAGCTTTGTGTTAATTTTCAGATTCTTTTTGCGATTCATCACAGTACAAACTTTGCATATCTGAAAATCAGACGATATGAGGGTCCAATAGCCGAAGCTTATTTACAAACTCCGAAAAAATCAATAGAAAGACCTCCTAGTCGACCAAGGAAATCAGACCCTCCACGCAACCACCCTTCCATGTCTGGACCTACAGGGTACATGTACGACACTGAGGTCCCTGCTAGATCGAATGGAACGAATATGTACAATCCTAATTATGATTCTGGTATCGCTGCATCCGCCAGAGCAGCGCAGCCGAGACAGCCTGTCCCAGAAGTTATGGCATTTCAACGATATCACCCAGGTGAATAAAACGACATTCGCCTCTTCTGCTATTATAATTTTAAAAGATAGAAGATATAGAGGAAATAGGAGCACAAAAGCATCAGTTAAATTCAATATAGTGGTCTTGTAACACACTTTGCAGAAATCATTTTCACATTCATCACAATTTTATATTTAGGCTAAAAGCATTTGAAATCGTTTAAAGAACGAGTCTTCACTTACAAAATTGCTATTGATGGAAGAACACATCTTATGTAGCTACCATAATAGTAAAATATGCTGCCTCTATGGCAGTCGAATTGCTCTACAGAGAAAGCCATATATCCAGCTCTATTCCAAACTCTGAATTCGATTTAATTGAAATTATTTCATCTTTAGGGCTAGTTAGGATATATCTTCAACGCAAATTTTGCATTCAATTCCCACATTTCACGCACAAAATCCAATGACTAGAAAATGTTTGTGCGCAAAATATTGCGAATAGAATTCTCAAATTAACACGAATGTGGTTCGGGAAAACAGAAATACTATCATCATGTTCAACGACGAATTCATATTGTTAGAAAGTAATCCATCCGCACAATACCATTATGCCGCCAACCTACGTATTACCAGTTACCACTCCCAATTATATTTTCTTTTATCCAAAAATTTACTAAACCAGCTCAATAAAAAGTTACTCAATCAAAGTGAATCCAAATATGATCATTGTTTATTCATCTGTACGCCGTGCTTTCACGTATGGAATGTATTAATTCAATAACTGTTGAAGCATATAGTTCTTGCTTGTGATTTTTTTGAAAGTGTTTATTGTTTTCGATTATTCTGCTCGGCTGGCCTTAAATTCAAAACACACCTTTAATGAAATGGATTGAAATTGAAACACGAACTTGTGGTTTCAAAATTGTATTGCGCGAGCAATATCATTCAGACGTTTCTTGTTTTTATTATTTTCATCGAGTCATAAACTTTAATAATCGTGTTTATTTCCACTAGACCGACGTACATTTATTCAGCATTAGACCACCCAATGAGACTAATTCTTGATTAGTTTGCTCATGTGTATTGGAAACGAGTTTAATTCACGGGCGCGATCACATAGTGGTTAATAGGTTCTACCTAGTTATATAAAAGTATTTGGTTAAAGCTTTCCAATTAAAAGTCCATTCCCACCACCTTGCATAGAGTGTAATAAATTTGGTAGCTGCATGGTCATCATTTTCCGATCTATCCAAAACAGTGTCACCTTTCAGCATATTGCACTTACTAATTTCGGAGCGAAAAATTGTAAAAAAAAAATCATAAGGTATAGCACCATTTATTGAATATTGTAGCTTGGCAAGCACAGAATGCAGCATACGAATATAAACCTATAGTTCATAATTACCCATGAATGCATAAAAATTTAATTGGTGTTTTATATATGTGCGTTTTTCGTATTTTATATGTTAGCTTTCTCTATATAAACAGATGAAGAAGATGAAGCAATAGAAATGAGAACAATGTCAAGATATAGTGACGATGAAGATCGACATCCAGGTAGAAATTGTTATAGATCCTGCATGCAGTAGGTGGATTCAGCCGGTTCGTACCGGTTCTATAGAACCGTCTCACGGAATTTTATGAGCTCAGCGAACCGGTTAGCATTACATGACTTTTTGTAACAGAACCGCCTAAAAATATGACATTTGTATGATGGAACCGGCTGACAAAAAAATTGAATCCCACCACTGCCTGCATGTGACAACCATCTCTAAATGACAATTATTTGTAATGGTGAACCTCCTAATATGCCAGGCATTGAGTTGGTCATATTTTTCAGATTTAAATTATTCCAATTCAAGGTTATGGCCGAGTTATTAACGTCCGAGTCGAAATACAGCCTGACTTGAAAAGCAATTGGCTTGAGACAAGTTCCATCAAATTTTGCTGAGGTTGATCAATGTCAAGTCATCTGCCATTTATAATCTCAGTGGTGTTTAAGTTATGTTTTGGCTCATGTGTCATGCAAAAAGCAAGTCGGTCTAAAGCACTGTTACAAGAACCATCTACGTAAAAAAATGTTATCTGTGTCAGATTGTGTTGTGAATTCCTCTAAGCTGATTTGAGGGAAAGTTGTGTCACTTGAAAAATTATGATCCAAGTTGGAGTCGAGTCGTGTTAGTTGTATTTTTCATAGTTTCATCAATTCGATTCAAATCTATTTTATTTTACAGAAAAAGAGTCACATAGAAGCTATGAGGAACCATCCCCTCCTCCATATAACCACGATAGTGACGAACCATCGGCAACACGTGACTCAAGGAAGCGCGGCAGAAGACGACACGGTCGTCGTCCTCGCCACACAGACAGAAAAAGATCTCGCTCTAGATCTGAAAAATCAGGTGGTCGTAGCAGACACGAGAGAGCCTCATCGGATGAAATGGAAAGCGTTGGGTATTCCAGCTCGCACAGAACAGGGCGAGGACGCCATCATAACAGTGAAGATGATGAAAGGAGCGCTCGGCGTTCCACTGACGACGAACATTATTCCAGGTCTAGTAAAAGTAGAAAACGTAGAGAACAACCCACTAGAGCGGACAGTAGGGGAAAGTTATATGAGCAGGACGAAGATTCTCCAGCCAGTGATTATTATATGAATGAAGACAGAAGAAGGGGGAGAGCCGGTTATTGATTCCGAGCCATAAAAGCATGCCAAAAACTGACAATAAAATGAGTTGCAGTAAATAACACTCTCAATTTAGTTCGCACTGTTGACAGTAAACACTATCGGAGTAAATACCTGGAATTTGCAATTCATTGGATTTCCAACAGCCCGAGTTTCATAATTTCGCCTAAAATAGGACCTGGTGGTTAATTTCATTTGGTTTCAATATACATAGTTCTATGTCCTAATTTTTTAAGAGGTGTGCCACTGTTCAACCATTGATTTATGACTTTATATATGATTTTATACTTAATATAGAAATCGCTTATTTCGTATCGCACAGAAGTACGTCTACAAACGAATCCAGCTCCACCGTTCCCCTCTCACTCTAAATGAAAAGTATATTCAGTCACATACGGTGCGATGGTTTAGTTCATTCAGACTAGTTATGAGCCTTTGTTCATCCAAACAGTTTATTATTGTGTGGACTGATATATTCAAATAATCTGATAAATTCTTCAATGAACCAGTTGATTCGTCTCATTAAATTATGTGCGGAAAAATTTGAGTAAAATCCTCCTTTTTATTAACTATCATGCCAGTATTTACGTTTTTTAAATATAATTACAGTACACTTAGAAATTAAAATAGTAATTTAAGAAACATACAAAAAATTATTCACCGTCATATTCGATACATTCATATATTGTGAAATTTAAAAAAAAATTTAAATACTTTGTTTCGCCAATTTCAATTATCCTCGTTTGCATAAAGCCACAAGTTTAGTTATTAATTATACAGTAGGTACAATTTGGCGCTGGAGGAAGAACGACTAAATGAATAACGCATTTACGATATATGCCACGCAAAAGACCAATGTATGGTCTTTCCTACTTTTTCGTTTCGAGAGTTCGATGAAAAAAACTACCACAAGGTTTAGGCTCCTTACCACAATCCGCCAATTCCTACTTCCGTTTATTTGTGTATTATACTATTTTAAAACTCCCGAAATCTTGATAAACACTGAATTAATGAACAGTTTCTTTGGTTGATTTTTCTATGAAAATGATGGCGTTGGACTAATGTTTATATCTTGTTATAAAAAGGTAATTCTGTTTAATATTTAATTCTCTTGTTCTTGTTGTTTTAGAAAAGAACAAAATTTATTGCTTTTGCAATTATTGCATTTTGTACTTTTGCGTTTTATGTATTCAGCGGTTCAGTGAATGATAAACTTGGAATAGGAACTGGTAAAAATGCCCAAAACATTCGAATTGTTTAGTCAATAACTAAAGGACCGAGTAATCAGAATGCTGGATGACAGTTCTGACCATATTTTACATGTGAACAATGGAGGAAACAACTCATATTATGACATAATTGTCAGCTTTCAAATTTTACAAATATCCAAAATAACAAATATTATATTTAACGTGTAGGTACTATTAATTATAATCAGATAAATCTGTATATGTTTCAATTTAAATCGTTTGTTTCAGGTGCAAAACAAAACCATAGTGCGCATACTCTGTGTATATTTTCAAATATTAGTCTAATTACTTGACTATTGACTGTGTGATTCATTCTCAATCATTGTAAAAATTTAATTTAATCAATTTTAGTTTGAAAAAGAATCGACTAAAATTTAGTCTTATTTATATTATTTTCTTTCTTTCAATTTTTTAAATATTTTTGAATAATCCATTTTCAACGCAAACATTCTTTGGTCATTGATCGGCCTCTGATAATTCTCGCTTTTGTATTCTGGTGCACATGCGGTCTTCTTTGATCATGTATATTCCTGCGATAACCTTTTCCGAGGTTCTTTTAATAATTTCTTTTTTAGTATAATTTCATATCTATAATTTCACTTTTCTTGGTAAATACACGATCGCGGTCAAAACATGTTTGTATTTTATATATGGCATGGTTGGAACCAGATGTTGGTGGCCTATTTAATATGTTTAAAGAAAGCGCATTTCGACTAAGTAAATTTGTGTTTGGTAGATCCCAACATATGGAAAGATATGTCATTGAAATGAATTATCAAGTTTATTGATGAGAAGCTTCATTGGTTGTCTAGTTCTACTACTTTATCGTGCTGTATAGTGTGTGACAGCCTGAATGCATATTTCATCTGAACAAATCCAGAATGCACCTTTGTAATGGGTAGCGATGTCACAGGGTAGCTCTCACATATTATTGACTGCAAACATTATTGGTAGCCTGACCTTGCTCCAGGCTTTCTTTCACAGACATCATAACGCGCTCTGTTTGTCTGAACTCGGAATATAGAAGGAGGATCAATCCAGCGGTTCGCAACCTTTATTCTCTTGTGGTTCACTTTTAGTCCCAACCTGATATGTGAAAGTAAACAAACCTATGTATGTAGCTCTGGTGTGCCAGAGGTCAAATGCATGCAGAGGTCTCTTGAATCAATGCTCGTCTTAATTTTGGATGTTACGTGAGCTTGCATGAAACCTAAACAACTGTCCTCCAGTCTTGTCTATACAAAACAATTAATCTAAGTCGAGACATATCCGTATTCATAAGTTAAGTCCGTTTTCAATCTGTTGTTTTCAGCTATTTCACCATAGACAGTTTTTAACTTTGTCTATCTGTAGGCTCGTAACATTGCATACGGTAGTTGTTATCCAATATATTGGAGTTTTTTGGGGAAAAAAAATACGATATACCGCCAAGGTAAGTGTCATCGAAGACTTGTTCTAAATCATATATGTTTCACCGAACCATGGTCTGCAAAGCATAGGGTTTTCAGAAAATAACTGCCTTTATCGGTGGACGTTTCGTAATCAATAACAGCAATATGTTCCAATGCAAAATCATCATAATTTCCTAAGCGTTAATATTCGATTTATTGCCCATAAAAACAACGAATAGACTAGCAAAGTGTGCAGAAAATAAGACTAAAGGTTACGTAAAATACCAGAGCAGTATAGATCTCCATAAAACTGTCATTAGAAATTCTGGGCGGCAGGTCACGAAGGGCAAAGCACCAATATTAATTATACTTCAACAAGAGGATCAGAAACCAAAAATAAGATAAAAAATGAAAACATAAAGAATAATTGATATTAACTCAACGAATAAAAATAATTTGTGAGATCTTTTCTTGAACATTTTTCACACTTGAGAAATAAAATGGCAATTATGACAGTCGAGATCATGCAGTCGCTGGATATAAATTTGCGATCCCACACCGAGAGCTCGTTTTCTTTATATTTTATATGCAATCGTACATAAATATACTTTACCACAAAGTTGGAAATAACATGTAATGGAGCCAGAGATTAAATAAAAAATACGATATATATGGCGAGATTGGGGTAAATTTAGTTTCAGAATTTTAGCAGACTCAGACCAACAACTTATTCGAAAAAAGGCGACTCCAAATCTTGGGCAGTGGACATAAACGTTGACCTAAATTTGAAATTTTTGATTTTATTCAAAGTGTTAAACCAGGATTTTTTTACAATTTAATAATGTAGGATTTTGGATGCCATGACAAATCCGTTTTTTGACATTTTTCCAGACAGTTCTGACATAAATATTTCAACGCGAGTAAGACAACTTGAATCAAATATGCACGAATAAAAATAATCACATCACGAGGAAAAAGATGCATTTAAAGATAATTTAAGATACCATTAGAAATATTGTTCGATCTAAACGCTATCATAATGAGGCGGTGCACTTTGAGCTTGTATAGATAGGCGATGATGTGTTATGTAAATATATTGCTGCACCAATCAAATTTTCAACATGATCAGTATCACTGACGCATTGAATTATTTACAGTTTACAGTCACAAATTATGGTTTAAAATCGGCTTTTTCCTGATTTAAAATGATTTTTGGGCGTTACCTCCAGAAATCGGTGGGGCAGCAAAGCCATAAAAAATACAAATAAAAAATGACCACTCGTATGTCTTTTATAAAGCACCAAGCATCTGCTAAGACATTTGTACAGGATAGAGAACGAATAACTTTAATGGCAATATTTGATTTGTCTCAAATATACTTTGTCGAGCATGTACTGGTAACCAAAAATTTGGGCTTCATGACGCGATTCATTATTAACTCATACTCGCCTGTCCATACCAACTAGTTTTGACAAGGATTGAGTTTGTATAAGAAGAGTCAATGGCATCAATTTAGTTGTCAACACTGTCATCACACATTGTCATCATCTTCATCGCCTTCCTCCATACTAACTGAAATAGCAGCAGCTTTTCGCGCCAAAAAGTCAGTCGATTTCAGTTCTCGAGGTGGTGGTGGTACACCGGAACCTCGACGATGGTTCATTCGGTGACCAGTGTAAGGCGACAAACCACCAGATAACATCAAATCAGAACTATTGGGAGGCGCTATCTTAGTACTATTTTTGTAAACAAATTCCAGAGTCTCTTGTGTGGCATGTTGGCGATGCTTCAGCATGTCCGTGCGTGATAACGGTGCTGACGTCATATCAAAATCATCTTCGTCAGCTTCACCGGTACTTGTTTCGTTTGTAGCGTTAACTGTGCTCTCCGGAGCACTGTTATTGTTAGAGTCTTGATTCTCTTGGAAATCGTTTAGTGTGTTTTTGTTTTCTTTGTCCATATTGTCATTGTTGGTAATCACCTCATCTTTTAAAAACGATTTGTCGTTAGTTGAAGGCGCTTCGTGGGAAGCCATCATGCCAACTTTAGCAGACATTGCCGACGTAGAAACGTTAATTCCGTTTTGTGTTGGAGACGTTTTATAAGATTTATCCACGAATCCTGAATGGTTACTTGAGATCTCCTTTGTGTTATTTAATCCTTTCTCAGCAGCTTTCAATGTTATTTCGCAATTTGATTTATTGTTCGTATTTACATTCTTGGCGGTATTCGACCCATTCTCTGTGAATATATAGATTTTAAATGTTAAACGTACAATTTAATGTATAACAAATAGAAAAAATTGATTTATGATCAATTAACACAAAAATCTCAATATAAATGAGGCTGATTTTCCCAATCTCGAATCAAGTTGGTAGAGTACAATATTAATATACCCAGGGTGTTTGTGTTCGCGATTCAAAATTATAACGTCGAATTGACGCAACGGAATATAAGGTTAATTGCTTTCACTGACTCAAACGAATCGATTTTCAAATCAGTGCATTTTTTCAAGCCTTTTCATTCATAAAAATTAGGAATTCATTAAAAATATATTCAACAGCGAAAATATACTAGTCTCCAAATAGGTGGAAATTGCACTTTTGAATTAAGCTCGGCGTACTACAGTAGAGTTGGACAAAACGACAATCTGACCGACTCATTTATGACAACTTTTTAATTATAACAGAGGCGCGGGAAAAACAATTCAAAGAAATGTGTTGTAACTAGTGTCAAATCTTGGGTCATCATAATTGTTTACAAAATGATTTTTCAATAGGAAATTGTGGATTGGTCAAGAATGATCTATCGATGCACCACGCGCCAAATCAAGAGTCCACACTCGTTCATGTATGAATTTATGAATATTTCATCAGATTGCGATTTCGTCAGTCTTGCCAATTCCGAAATCACAATTCTTATCACAAGCACGACAACAATTAGTGTCTTTTACGAGAAAAACTTCTACAAGAATCACCAATTTTGCCACGAATATCACTTTCTTGCATACTTTTACAATTGCTTAATTAAAGTTTTGTATCTATCCTGAGCGAGAAAACATTACTGAATTCCAACAAACAACCACCTACCGCTTGTCGCGAAATACCGGAGGCTTTTGCACAAACAAAAATTCTGCTAATCAGAGAGAGCACTCATCTCTCCCTCTGTCAAATTTCACATGCTTCATTTAGCGATACAAATTAGGTTCCATATAAGTTGTTTTCTTATTAAAATATGGAGGTTTTGATTTTCTTAGTAATTCTAGCCCCACGAGCAATGCCTCTACGACTGATCACTGTACAATTGACAATCGTCAAAACTGAGTCTTCTAAACTGTCAAATAATACGCCTTGTTTTAGTCAACACGTAAAATACAACTTTAAGTCGCTGTTAACTCCTTGTCAATCCATACCAAACAAAGCCCGAAGGCCTAATTTCCGTAATTTAAATTTCGGAAGTTTAGTTAATCATTACTTTTGAAAATCTCAAATAGCGGATGACGTCTCAAACTAAGACGGTTATTGTAATTGTGCTGCGGTATATTATTTTTTAATCACTACAACGGCTTCGCTTCGAAACGATGTTGAATATCGCGTTTAACTCACAATTTAAATCTTGACCGATAGTAGGCCGTTTTGAAAAAAACGATTAATCTGAATTTATGTACAAAATTCAGAATGGCACAATTGATTTCTTCGTTTCCACAAAACAGCAAAACAGGACGACCAATGCTGTAACAGATTGATTTTTTAATGGGAAATCCCGCTTTAAATAGAACGTGTAAATTGGTGAACGAGTTGGTCCCGACTCCCAGGAGAATGTCATGGAATCATTACTAAATCCTAATTACTCAACACAAAAGAGAGCGTAACATTATTTTAACCTTACAGCCGTTACTAATTCTCAGTCTACAATTATGAACTTGAACAAACGGTAAATGGCATATACAATAAAACTTGGGCGAACGTGGAACTTTCACAAGCTCGTCTGAGACTTAACCGACCAACAGATTAAAATCAAGACTGCATATGATGAAATGAAACTTAACAACTTATCCTGATAATTTTCTCACCACTAATTTTCTGGTATGACATAACCCAATTCCTAACCTAAACAAAATGAAGATCAGAATATAAGTGATTGGACAATGATAGGATGGTACACAAACTTCTAACTGATTTAAGCCTCGTCGTTATTCTTACTTGCAATATTGCTACAAACTATACACGTACAGGGCGTGCCATGACTTACTATAGAATATTTGTATAAGCTCCGCTTTTGCGATACAGAGGGGTGCAATATACGTCAATGCTGCATTCAGACTGGGGAATGCATATATAGCGTAAAAGTCAGGCGTATTTTATGTTAATTACTGCAATTTTGAAGCAGGTAATAAAGCTACCTCTCTACACCCTCATTTGGGAAAAATAACTGCTTCGCCATCTTACAACGACAGATAACATATTGCTGCACTGATACGGAAGGTAAACAGAGTTGAAGTGTGCGCAAGTCGAATCTAACCTACTGCGTATCGCATTGTTTATCAAGGCCTTTTACACGACGTCAGATTCAGCGAATATAATCTGCAGTACAGTAGTTTCTCCCTTATTTCGACCTATCTCCAAAGCAACGTCTGACCACAAGCACAAATGCTGACGACATGACGAAATACTGATCCCTTTAAACTAAGTCACTCTAATTTGAACTGACGATCTCAATGAGGTTTTCTTCGTATTCTCGATCAAGTATAATACAAGTTTGATGGCATCCGTGGGCCACAGATAGAAATACTAACACGTATAATCACGTTAACGTCAAGAACAAATCAGGCGAAAATAAGTATGCTTCAGGCCCTGCTACTTCTCGGTTCTGTTCTAATTTTAAAGAGAGATTAAATTGAAATATTTTTCGATCTAATTTAAGATTTACCCGTTCATACCCTTGGTATTATTTTAATCCATATTGAAAATTTCTCAGAACATCGTCTTTGCAATAATAATAATACCACCATACTTAGCACATTGAGACCATACTTTTGCAAGGTACAGCGATTTGTTCACATAATAATGCTACGTGAAAACACGGCTTCTGAGATTATTTACACAGTCATCCAGTTTAACCTTGTACTCCTATCTTCCCCGGAGACCAGATTATATATATAATCACTTGCACGTGAAAACATACTATCATTAGTGGTCTATCCCACTTCTTTTACTCAGGTAGAGAATATCGACAGAGTCGAAATGAGGCTCTCATGCCTGTTTTACCTAGTTGACATATAGTTAGATAAATGCGCCCATCACAGACACATACGAACGAGTTTGGACGCGAAACTACTATATACAACAAAGCGCTATAATCGACAAATCGCAAAACTCTTAGACATCAATAAACGCCATTGGATAAATGATGAGACCATATCGCGGCTAAATCCAATCTATGATTCTTGTGTGAATCCCTGGTATACCTGTCGTATAGGAATGCCTGCATACCTATACCTACACTCTTGTGAGCTGCGACTTCCAATTCTCCTTGACCGAATTCGAAAAGCATCAAAAGTTTTCGGAGTTGATTGACTTCCGTATTGCCTGCCGACCGCTTTTCATCATCACAGCATGACTCGCTTTGCCTATTTTATGGATATTGTGGATTGAGACTGCCTATGTTCTTCGGATTTTCTCTATCTGCCAAACCAACTGTAGAAATTTATTGCCTACGAGCTCTGACACTGATCCTATTAATGCCAGGGAAGCTGTTTGTGAAAGAAATTTCGAAACAAATTCCCCGAAAATTTTCAAGTGCGAAAAAATTTCTTTCTTGATCTGTTTTTATGTGCATATTGATTTATTTAGATCTCGTGTCATTCGGTATTTTCTAGCGTGTGACGCTCCATTATCTTCCTAGCTGGCGTTTCAGCAAATTTCTTTCACTTTGGAGTGAGTGCGCGTGAACTCGCTTGTGGGAAAAGTAATTTTACTTGTTACTGCTGCTCTACTTACTGATTAAGATATAGACCAAAGAGTCTCACTCGAGACCCTAGTGAAACATCATATCGTTTTTTACGAACCTACGTATTAAATGCGATAATGAAACCAACGCTGTTCGTTTGTATGGAATAAGAGATAATTGAATGCGCAAAAACACCCTAAAAAGAATGATTTAAATTTCAGCATGGAATCTATAGCAAAAAGCATCGCCCTATCGAGAGGCCATAGTTGGTCTACATAGAAACATATAACCTGCGTGTCAATGTATATTTAAATGACGTAGTCATATGTATGATATATATACTGAAACTGAGGTTATTGCGTCATTATGCGAATTTACTCATAGCATATAAGTGACGCCTGAAAATTGGGTTATTTTGATACAAATCAGTCTCAAATCACATATCATGAATAGCTTATGTGACCAAAATTTAAATTCTTGTTGGCACACTATTTATAACTTTACTTAAACATTGTCATTATCTGCGTACGTTGGCTGCTTACTCAGTGAGGGAAGGTTATAGCTAATCCTGACATGGGCAAATTACGGGCCAAATCCGGCCCGTTGGGTAATTCAATCTGACCCGCTTGACGCTGCTACAACCAAACTGAAACCAAATTTTTTAGCTAAAAAAAAATAGCTCAATGAATTTGTTGAGATTGCAATCAAATTTGGTTTTGGCACAAGGCTTATTGTTTTTTGCTTTTGTAACACTGTAAATATTTTTCATAAAATGCAATTTTGTAGGTCACGCTAACATGGCCCGCCAGTCTAGGTGGGCAAACTTTATGGCCCCTGGTCCAAAAACTTAGCCCACCCCTGAGCTAACCACTAGTGGGCACGAATAACTGAAATTGCTACCAATCAATAACAAAAGGGGCCAATAGTTGTCGGATTATCGGGGTCTGTCCGTCTCCAACCTTATTCTTGTGAGTTTTGTAAATCTACTACAAGCGATCTCGGCACATTTATCACAATTTTTCATTCAGGATAAAGACATTAGCATCATCTAAAAAAAAGTTTTTACGTAAACTTAATTGGCAGTAATCATCTTGCGTAGGTGCTCTAAAAACCAGCTCTGCTGCCTATATGGTATCCCGATAACCGTATACGGAGGGGACCATTCCAATAGTGATTGGGAACTATCAATCTCTATCGCAGTAACTATCAATGTATATCTGTCACAATTTTATCTGCCAAAATGATCGAACCCAGCTACTTGTGTTTTATACCATTACGATATAAGCGATATC